TTTTTATATGTGGTGTTAAAAGGTAAAAAAATAGTGTTGTTACTTACTGTGGTTTTTCTAATAGCCCTAATCAGGGAGGATACAGTCAGTTTTTAGAAATGACAGAAAAATGAATGAATTTAGAATTATAGATGCTATGCTAGTTTATAGGGAAACCAGGCTCAAACCCTCAGAATGCCCTCAATATATAGCCCAGGATTCCTTCTTTGACATCATCACATATTGTGTGTAAGGTTAAGCATTAACTACCAAATGCAGTGACAATTAGCAAAATTTATTATCTGTTATTCATTAGTTCAAGGTAAGATATTACTTAATTTACTGAATTAGGTAAATAGAAGCGGTTTTTGACCCAATAAAATTTCCGTACAATTCATAGTATGGAGTTTAAGAACTATTGTATTTTGCTCAGTGCCATGAGTAATCAATGATAACATGTATCTTTTAAAAGGTAACGAATCTTAAAACCAACATGTGACACGATCTTGTTTGTAGGAAATCCTAAGGAATACACACAGATACACACACACACACACACACACACACACAATCATAGAACTAATAAAAGTTCAACAAAATCATGGGATACAAGATCAATATACAAGAATCAATTGTATTTTTTTTTTCTTTTTTTGAGACAGAGTCTCATTCTGTTGCCCAGGCTGGACCATTGCCCAGGCTAGAGTACAGTGGCACAATCTCAGCTCACTGCAACCTCCACCTCCAGGGTTTAAGTGATTTTTGTGCCTCAGCCTCCTGAGTAGTCAGGATTACAGGCATGTACCACCATGCCCAGCTATTTTTTTGGTATTTTTAGTACAGACAGGGTTTCGCCATGTTGGCCAGGTTGGTCTTGAACTCCTGAGCTCCAATGATCAACCCGCTTTGGCCTCCCAAAGTCACTGGGATTACAGACGTGAGCCACTGCTGGCCTCTCAATTGTATTTCATATACAGGTAATAAACAATTCAAATATGAAATTGAGAAAATAGTTTTATTCATAATAATGTCAAAAAGAATTAAATACATACAAATTAACAAAAGGTTAAAACTTGTACACTGAAAACTATAAAACATTACTTAAAAAATAAATCATGGGACATTCCATGTTCGTGGACTGGAAGATTCAATATTGTTAAACTGGCAATACTCCAAATTGATAATGTGTGTTCAACATAATCTCCATCAAAATCCTAGCTGGCTTTTTTTTTACCCCCAGAAATTGAGAAGCTGATCTGAAAATTCATGTGGAAATGAAAAGAACTGAGACTAGCAAAACAATCTTGAAAAAGAACTTAACATTGCCCAATTTCAAAATGTACCAAAAAGCCATAGTAATGAAGATAATATGGTAGTTACTTACAGAAAGACATATATATCAATGAAATTGAATTGAGAATCTGAAATAAACCCTTTTTATCATCAATTAATTTTTCACAAAGTTGCCAAAGCAATTTAATGTGGAAAAAATAGTCTTTTCAGCAAAGGTACTGGGAATTGTATCCTCAAGTAAAAATATTAGTTTGGATCTCAAGTAAAAAATATTAGATAGGGATCCAAAATGGATCATAGATCTAAATATAAATGTTTTGACTATAAATTCATAGAAGAAACCTAGGAATAATATTTGTGATCTCAGGTTAGGCAATTATTTTTTTTTCTTTTCTTTTTTTTAATTGTACTTTAGGTTCTGGGGTACATGTGCAGATCATGCAGGATTGTTGCATAGGTACATACATGGCAAGGTGGTTTGCTGCCTTCATCCGCCCATCACCTATATCTGGTATTTCTAACCTCGTCATCCCTCCCCACCATCCCTACCCCTACTGTCCCTCCCCCTAGGCCCCCTCTACTGATCTCAGTGTGTGATGCTCCCCTCCCTGTGTCCACACGTTCTAATTGTTCAAACACAGTGATTTTAAAAACTGATACATTGGCCGGGAACGGTGACTCACACCTGTAATCCCAGCACTTTGGGAAGCCAAGGTGGGTGGATCACAAGGTCACGAGCTCAAGACCAGCCTGGCCAAGATGGTGAAATCCCGTCTCTACTAAAAAAAAAAAAACAAAACAAAACAAAAAAAAAAACAAAGTTAGCTAGGCACGGTGGCAGGTGCCTATAATCCCCACTACTTGGTAGGCTGAGGCAGGAGAATCTCTTGAACCGGG